ATGTTGCGATTTTTGGGAGAGATCTTTGTTTAGTGAACGTTTGCTGGCTGAAGTGATGTAAATGATGTTAAATATCAATATTTGTATGATAGACAAAATACAGGAAATAAACTAAATATAAAATAGTATCTGTAATGTGGAATATTCCTAATAGGCTCAACAAATCTGCGATCTGCTTGTGGATTTGCTTGACTTATTTTAAAGTTTATATTAGTTTTTATTGATATTGTAGACAAACCTCAGTGGTTTATTACAATGTTGTAAGAATTAAAAATGTAAACTTTTTCTGGATACAATTATAAATGAAAAAAAATTTTTTTTTTCTATACAGAATAATTTAGAAAGAAATATCAGTGTTAAATATTACACATCATATTCCCTATCCGAATACTTTCAGTAACTTAAATAAGTAGAGGAATGATGGAGAAAAGTCGATATAGCATTGGGAATGAAAATTGTATCAAATTATCTCGCACGAAGGGTTCTGTACCGAAAACAAGCAAAAAAAAGTCACGTTTGGTGCCGGAGCCCCCTTAAACATTCATTTTATGCCGGTTTTTAGTATTTGTTATTGAAGCGCCTAAAGAAATCCATCATCTGTGAAAATTTCAACTTTCTAACTTTCACGGTTCATAAATACAGACTGGTGAAAGACGGACAGACAGCGCAGTCTTATTAATAGGGTTCCTGTTTTTTCCCGACTACAGCAAAGGGAAAAGGGGGGATTGTGATGCCCTTTGGGTACGGAACCCTAAAAATTGCACTTGTATACAAAAGCAACTGGCAGGACTCTACTACGTGTTTATCTATGGTCCGCAATAATTAAGCTATTCACACTAAAGTGAATCGATTGTTCAACTTATAAGTAATCTTGTTTAAAAGTAATCTATTAGGTAAAATTAATATTTGGGACAAGACATCTAACTCAAATTATTAACGCTAATATTTGTGTTATTGGGTTTTACCCTCTAATGAGTTCCAATAATATGAAAACCTTATCAGTTAAATATATACTGGTTTAGATATGTATAAACTGAGATTTTGTAAGTAATATTTCTTATTATATTATTGAGTAGCTCGGTGGCGTAGTGGATAAGCGCCGCGGCTTGCAATCGTTATTGTTAAGCAACTTTCGCTCGGTAACAAAAGGTCGGTCACGGGATGGGTGACCAAAAAAATATTATTTCTAGCTACTCCGCGCTTTGAAAGACACATTAAGCGGTTGCAGTTGCAGTTGTTAATACCTTCCACTGCATTCGCATTGGGTCAACGTGGATGGTCATGGCCTATCCTCCTAAACCATCGATAAGGAAGGCCTGAGCCCTGCAGTGGAGACGTAAAAAGGCTGATGATGGTTTAGGTATTTAAATTATAAAAGTATATAAGGGTAAATTTTCGAGAGTAGAAACTTTTTCAGGCGATGATAACCAAAACTACTCACTATTAATTTATACACGAAATTTTAACATCAATTTCATAAAAATATCACATTTTAATGATATCTACTCCATTTCGCTTTTTGAAGCGCAAAAAAAAATACAAAATTATCAGCGTACTAAATATTTCATTTAAAAACTGAGACGCCAATATGTTTTTGTCCCCTGGAAAATTGCGTTTTCGATTCTTGCAATTGACTACTTATTTTTTTATAATAATTAGAACAAAATTCTCATCTTTATCGAAAGTTTCAATATTTGTAATAATATTTATTTTAATAATGATATGCCTGAACATTGATGAGAATACGCTCTGTAGTAGCGAAAAGTAACAAGTGCTTGAAAGATTCGTCAGTCCTGTTAGGTCCTGGGCAGCTCAGTGGTTAGAGCAGTCGCCCGGATAGCGAAAGGTCGTGGGTTCGATTCCTATCTCAGGGTGCCAGGGACCAAGTGGATTTTTTAAGCATTTTGTATTAAGAATACTTATTTTCTATTAACCAAGCGATGCCGTGCCATATTTTTGTTTCGGATCACTTTGAGAGTTAGTTGGGCCTTAACATGTTTGTGGATGCGCAAGTTTTAACTAATTGCCGAGATAAGTTTCTCATGAAAGTGTTTTGGTTACCGTGGGCGATCAGTTCTGTGGCAAGTTTTAGATAATGAAAAAAAAAATTATAGACAAGTTAGTATACTGCAGACATTTGCGTTGAAATTATAACCTGTAAATGTCAACTTTATTAATTCATAATTTGGGAAATTATAATGAAAAAGATCCATTAGTTAGTCATTAGCATTACTGTGACGTCATTCGTGTGGCGTTGTGGGCCACCAGAATGACAAATGAGCCACAATAAGTATAAATATCTGTATAATCAATGTTAAGTATATGCATGAACTAATTATATATTATATGATCAATTAGTCTGCAATTTATATAATCTAGAAATAAGTATAAGACGATAGTTTCTGAGTATGTAGCTATGAGTTACATAGCTACTTCAAATGCTTTTTCATTTCTACACTATATAAAAAGTCATATCTAAATTGACACTGATAATAAAAATTCTTTCAAGTTTTCAATTTAGTGGTTTATATCACCACTTTGGTGGCGCAAAATAAGAATAAAAAAATCCGCGAAAGTACTGAGTTTTAAAGAATGCCTTCCAAATTATTAGAATCACAGTATCTTTATCTATAATCTAAAATATCCAGTTCGGGTAAATTGTGAAAAATAAAAATCGCTACGACATTGACAGAAAACCGCTCTGAAAATTTACCCATAAACAAAATCGTAACAAGGTCACAATGCGCCTCAATGGATTGGGAACATGGTTAAAAATAACTAAACATTGAATTAATTTTAACTAAAACATTTGTAAACATAAAATAAACAATTTAACAATACTGATTTACTGGTTTAATTAGCTCCCATACTTGTATGTATTATGTTATGAAACATTTATGAATGGAAGCTTCGCTGACAGTGCTTCCTGACTCGTCTGAGTTTCTCAAAATATGTCCCGGTGAGAAAACAACAGAATAATATATGATAGGGGTTTTTTAACCCCATCAATTAAAACTTTCGATGCGTAAACCATAAGCAAGTTGTCTTTGGCACAGTAAAATATCTGACCATGGCCAACAACACAACACTTGACTGCACCAATTTTGAAGTTTTTTCTAGCGTCGGAAAAACTCAAATAAGGAAGATTATAACAGCAACATATCTACTATACTTACCTTAACTTTTTTGTAATACCTATTTATTAACGTTATCAGGGAAAAGGACTAGATGCCAACCGGTATGCCACAAAGAAGACTGTGGCACAGGGCATGCTGGATATAGCCCTTCTGACATCCAACGCATCTCAGCTGAAATACGTGTTACAAGTGGGCCCTAAACACGAGTTCTACACGCTTCTAGTTGTGCTAATATCAATCTCCATTGTATTACAGGTTAGTTAACTACAAACTTTAAAATATCGGGTTGGCACGAAAGTAATGAGACACTTGGTTTAAGTTTTTACTTTTTTATTATTATTACAATAAAAAAGTTTTGTCAATGATGTAATTACCATTAGTATCTAAGACTTCTTGTCAACGATCCGGCAAAGTTTGGATGCCTTTTGCCCAGAACTCTGATGGCTGTGCCTCGAAAAACTTGTTCAACTCCGCCTCTACGACAGAGAAATCATTAAATTGTTTACCCCGCAAATGCTGTTTCAGGGCTCTAAACAAATGATAGTCTGATGGGGCGAGGTCTGGGGAATAAGGTGGGTGAGGTATCGTCTCCCAGCCCAAGTTCTCCAACTGCCGGCGAACCACAGATGCGACGTGAGGTCGAGCGTTATCGTGCAGTAAAACTACATTGACTCGTCTTCGTCGTTTTTTCTTGATAGCGGCAGATAATTTGGTAAGCTGGGTTGAATATTTGTCAGCGTTTATAGTTTCATTGTGTAATAGCTCATAAAACAGTATGCCTTGCGCATCCCAGAAACAGCAAAGCAGAATTTTTCGGCGGTTCTTTTGATTCGGCTTCGGTTGAGTTGGTGGCGTTTCTTCTCGAGGCAGCCAAAAAGCACGACGTGTATCGTTCTCGCAGTAAATCCATGATTCATCTCCAGTAACCAGTTCTGACAAAAACTCATTACGTCGGGGTCGCAGCAAAAGTGACTGACAGATAGCGACACGGACTGCACGACTGGCGTCTGTAAGGATGTGCGGTACCCACCGAGCCAAAACTTTTCGATAACCAAGCTCATGCATATGGTGTTCCACGGCGTGGTGACTGCATTTAAGTGCTTCCGCTAATTCACGAGTGGTAGCATCCGGATTCAACTGCAGTTCGCGGCGCAAATCGTCATCATTCACTGCGGGTGGTCGCCCTTAGCGTGGCTGACTTTCAAGGCTCCTGTCTCCTGATTTAAAACGGTCAAACCATCGGGACACCGTCGCATGGCTTGTACTTCCAGCGCCTAATGCATTGTTGATATTGTCAGCCGCAGCCCGCGCACTGTGGCCTAACAAGTACTCGTATAAGTATAGTGTTCGAACTTGTCGCTCGTCCATTTTTCTTCAAACTGACTAAACAAATCGCGAGCGCTGCTTTATATACCCTACACCAGAAGTACCTAGAATGTTCTACAACATTCTAGAATATTATCGAAAAAATTGATTTTAAAAAGGAAATGTTATAGATTTTTCTAGTGTGTCTCATTACTTTTGTGCCAACCCAATAGTTGGTTATACGTTTTCAATCCTATTTTGCCTTGTTTGTAGTTTCAAGTATCAAATAGGTACTTAAATTTATTTATATCACAAATATTATCTCAAAAGGTGTTTGATATCAATTATAGGACATGTAATTAACACATTATCATTCATTTGGCTTGATCCAAATTCCATTTGAGTTCATTCAAGTGTTCCTTTTCCATGTTTCTCGATCAGCTCATAACATCAGCCATATCTTTCAAATTTACTAACCATCTTTTCTCTAGACATCGTACCTCTCCTACATCCTCATAATAGTCTCGTAAAAGTCGTAGAGGTCGATCGTAGGTGGCGATGGGAATGGTGATGCTGTCCCTGAACTTGCTGCACGACTGTCGGTTCCACATGCCGCGGTGGCGGGGTTCAGCGTTGGGCGTCAATTATGCTACTACAGCCGCTGCTTTCGTCGTAACAGTACTCAATGTACTGGTGGCAGCTTTCGACTCTTCGCTCGCAGCTTACTTGGATCTTGATTAAAATGTTATATCTGTTATTTATGGAAATATAATTTTGTGAGTTTCATGAAATTAAAACAGGACAGTACTGGAAAGGCACATTTTTGAGAAAATGTAATATTTTAAGGTTGCCCTAAATAAGATTTGATGACTCGGATATATCCAATTTGCATTCGTTTAAAAACAATTTGTAACAGTTAATTTAATTAGATAACTAATTTCAAACAATAATTAATTATAAAATGAGTAATACTCGTACATTTTATGTTGATTCTTAAAGTTTAATTAGATTCCTTTTACAAGTTTACTGAAAATTTAAGGTTCTAGAGAATCAATTGCTTGTTTTAGCTTCTGGTCGGGCTCCTGTTCGTCATAATTGGCGGTTTGGACTTGAATGACCACGACGATCAGCCCTCGGCACTCGTCCTCAATGATGTCATTGTTATATTTATTTTTGTCATCTCCGTTATCAATATTGTGATATCTGCATTTGGTATAGAATACTCAAATAATCCGTTGATATTGGAACGTCTAAATTATATAAATAATGAATATTTAAACAAAGGAAATGTAACGGTACCTTAGAATTAGTATTATTTATAGGTTAATAAACACGAATCAAATAGATTTGATGGCTCAGATAATAACATGATATCTTCGCTGTTGTGTAACTAGCGGCTTCGTTTCGCTAATTAACGAATACTGCCTTGACTTGATTTCTTTTGCACGTTTCTTGAATTCTTATTATTAGTTATGCCAAGAGAACTGTGGCTCTACAATTCTTTACTTTATCTTACTAAAAAAAAAATAATTAACTTTTGCTTCGTGCAGGCGAGCGCGGGAATCCTGGCGATTGTAATGACGTTTTTGGATGTTGAGAACAGTGATAAACAAAAGAAGATCTCGTACACATTGTATCACGCTTCGGTTGGTATGATGACGGGTGTGGTGTTTTGTGACGTCATGAAAATGACCTTCGGCTTGGATCCCGCGCTCTCCGTGAAGGACTCACTCGGAAACGGGACTTCGAATTTTTATGATTGGTTCTTTAAAGTCAAGGAGTAATAGGAGGATAATACAATAATTAATTAAGTATTTCATAAGTGTAATATTACTCATTTACGTGCCATGTTAAATAGTAAAATAGTTAGGTTAACAAAACTTGTTTAAGTAATAGTTTAAGTTAAGATCGTGCTTAATTTTATTATACACTTATGTTTAGAGATACATTTTAGTTATAACTATAATTTCATAACATGTTGTTAAATATATACCTACATGAAACTGTTTTAAAAATTATAGCATACATTTAATACTTAATGTATCTTTTTTCAATGTCAACGTTAACCGTATTTGTACTGTGGTATTAGTTATTGCCATAATCTTAAGGGCGCTTGTGCACTACACTGAATTTTCATGTCCGGCGGTCCGATTTTTTCAGGTCCGATATGTCAGGCCATATGTAGGTAATGCGCGCTTGTGCACTGTCAGGAATTTTACCGTCCGGAATTTTACTTTTCTCTATTCCGGACCGGTTTTTTCAGGTCCGTGATGGCGGCAATGAAAAACGTGTTTACGCTTGTGCACTGCTGAGTCCGCGATCCGGAAAATTCATAAGGAATAGGCTTGGGAAAAAATAATCGATTTGAATCGATATTTATTTCGGCAATATTGTTAATTTCCAATAAACTTACTATCGATATTTATTGTTGATTATAAAATGCTATATTTTATGTGATGATTTAATATAGTTGGTATATATCACTGCATATGCTTTGGCAAACTCGGTATAGTTCTATTTTGATCAGCGTATGGTTTTAGTATCGATACTTAGCTAGATTTTAGAATCGTATTAAAAGTATCGATAGCTTAAGGTAAGATAAATAAGTGTTGTTACGCTTAGACGCCTAAACAACTGAACCCATCTAAATGGAAATTAATATAGTAAATAGACTTAACTTTAAGAAAGGACATAGGCTACATTTAATCGCGAAAAATAGGGGATGAAAGTTTGCCTGGAAATTTGTCATTATCAAATTTTTTTAGACAATTGATAAGTATAGATAAATATTTGGCAACAGGAGTAATAATAAAGAATAAACAGAAGACTAACAAAAGTAATTAAGTGACACTCAATGTCTTTTTCGTATTTAATAAAATTTTAAATGTATGTTTGTGTCATTAATAAATTTAAAAAAAAGAAGTATTCTAAGGGAATAATATTTCTGCTCAAAGAAACTACACCACGTGTATAAAATTATGCCTATATATAATACAGTCAACTGATCTCGTAAAGTTCTTTTAGCATAATAATTCTCCGCTAACACTAATTTCGATTTGCTTACGAAATGGCGCCACCGATTGGTCTATCTCTGTAATCGCTGAAAGTTGTTTTTACAAAACTTCGAAAAAAAATTTAAACATCAATTACTAGACCATTATCAGTAATTTTATTCTAATGTCATAGATATTTTTAGCTATTGTATGTGAATAATGCAGTTCCTAAATTAGTAAGGGTGTAAGTTTTTACATCTGATAGTAGTCATCCAATAGTAGTAAAAAAATGCTTTCGTCTTGCCATAATTTATTATGGTTTATGTAAAACGACCAGACCATTATTTAGGTACCTTTTTACGTCTTCGAACGGAATTACCGACGTTCCAAAAATTTCATTTTACCTAGCGTAAGTGACGTGTAGTTTCAAAGAGAGCTGCCCTACACTGCGCCGCTCCGATCAGGAAAAAAACGGACAAGTGCACAAGCTACTCATCCGAGTTTTTCATGTCATTCCGGACCGGAAAAAATCGGACCGCCGGACCTGAAAATTCAGTGTAGTGCACAAGCGCCCTAAATGTTTATGCTTGCATTGCGTTCATCAGCTTTTTTATTTTATTTTTTGTGTTGTCTATTTTTTTTCTGTTGCTTTATTTTGTTTTTATTTTCACTCTAGGTAATATCAGCTATATTCGCTGTGGTGCTCGGCGGCATTTTTAATATAAACCGACAACCAGACCATCGGAGGGCTGAGATCCTCAATGACACCACGCTCATTTTTAAAATCATAAGCATCAGCATCAACGTTGTTATAAGTGTACTCTTTTCTATTCACATGGATAATTTCACTATAGTTAACTTGTAATTATATTATTATGATTGGGATTAAAAAAATAGAATTTAATAAAACGGCATTCATTTTAAAGAAGTTAAGGACCACTTAGTATGCTTTCAGGAGTTACCGGTGGTCCACGAACAATCGGTTTAATGGTTTAGTAGATAATTATTATGCATAGTTCAATCAGGGCCGGATTCAGAGGGAACAAGTGAGGGCGCTTGTCAAATATTTTTGTCTGTATTAAAATAACAATATCATGTTAATTTAATACAGACAAAAATAAAAGTAATTTAATCATATATTGCAAAAATAGGGGGAGGGGGGGGGGTTGTAAGGGCGCAAAATCAATAGTTTTTGCCCCGTTTAGAAAAAGTTGTAATCCGGACATGAGTTCTCTCTTTCTAATCTTTGGGCTTTTAGAGACCTAGCTGCTTTGTCTATAAAGCCGAATTTACATTACGAAACTAGTGCACGTGCAACTAATTTTGCGGATAAATGAAACTAATTTCGTAATGTTGTGTAATTAACAGTGTCTCTGAGACGCTGGCACTACAGTTGTTGATGATGCGATGTAGACTCGCGACGCTATTTTCATCACATCAAAAATATATAATCCAGCGTCGAAAACTAATGCATGCATTGTGAATGTGGACACTTATATTTCAAATTTCACGTGTAAGTGTGTGTGCTAGCGAAATTAATGCAATGAAATTAATGTCATGCACGTAGTTTCGTAATGTAATTAGTAATTTTTTCTATTCAATCCTTATACTTCAGTAATTCATAAAAAACTGTAACAGTGCTTAATAGTGTATCATTAAACCTACCATTATCTACTACATTCTAGAACGTTTTCAATAAATAAATACTTAAATATTGCATGTCTTTAAATATTGTATGTCCTTAAATATGCCTTTATAATAAGCACTTATTTTAACAGAATAGGTACATTTAATTTTGATTAGTTATTGTGACCAGCATATTTCTTTAAAAAATTTGCTACAGGTCCCGCTCTGGTTTAATTCGGCTGCATATAATGACTTATTATATGTATTTATTAATGTGTGGCTAATATTATACTAGACATTTGTTAGAGTTGAGGAAAATACTTTACCTAAATAAAATATTACGTTAATGTTTTATTACGTAACATTATTTTATCGGATATTTTTTCTTACTATAAAAGTATAGAATGATTTTACATTCGAGTACCAAAAATGTAATACCCTTATCTGTAAAATAAATAGGTACATATAATGAGTGCCTGATATTATACTAACACGAAGAGTTGAGGACTGTAATTTGATATTTAAATAAATTATTACGTAACTCTTCTAATAAAGATTTTATACTTACAATATTGTTTTATTACACTAACAAAATTTTATCGGATATTTTTATTACTGAAAAACCGTGAAATAGTCTTACATTACCTATCTATCAAATACCTCGTGTGTTTATAAGTTTTGAGACATACTTTTTTACTGAAAAAATAAAATAAAATATCTCTGGCTGTTGCTATTTTTTTAATGATTTTGAATTTGGAATTTTAACTTAGTTTATCTGTATCGCAAATGAATTTGTTTTGTTTATATTTTCTCGTGATGGAACGAAACAGTTACGTGCAAATGTCATTTCGCTATTTCAGGCGGGAAAAAATCAATGCAGATTTTCCGTGAGTTGAAAAGTTTTCCTGTAAGTCGTTACTTCGTCTATTACACAATATAGCGGTACAAAGAGACAAGTTTTCTGCAAGATCGCCAAAAACGGAATGTCTCTCTCATCATACGGCTAGTGTGATGATATGGTGGGGAGTTTTGTATGAAGGTGTGACTCTGCTCCATTTCTGCCAACAAAGTGTCAAGGTGAAACCTATGAATTATCAGAGTGACATTTTAGAGCCCGTGGTCAAAACCCCTGTCTGATACGTTATTTCACACTAAGCATTGGGTTTTTCAACAAGATTCAGCGTCATCCCTTAAGGCAAAAAACACCCAAGTTTGGTTGAGGGAGAATGTGCTGCCCTTCATTACGGCAGACGAGTGGCCCTCCTCCAGCCTCGACCTCAACCCGCTGGATTATTCTTTATGGACTGAATTCTTATTCAATCTATAAAGAATAATCCAGCGGGAGTTCTGGCTCAGAGCCTGCTGAAAGTCTCACCCAAACTTGGAGTCATTAAAGCGAACCCTTGTTCAAGAATCAAAGCGCATTCCGCTAGAAAAGATTTGTGCCGCCATTGATGACTTGCCAAATCGTCTAAGGGCCTGTATTAAAAACAAGGGCGGTCATTTTGAATAAATTATATATTTTATTGTTGATTATTATCTATTTAATGGTTACTGAAAATTTTAGAAATATAAGTTAATTATGAAAAAAGTTACGCAACTTTTATTTATTATTATCTCAAAACTTATAAACACACGAGGTACTATATAAACTCATTTTCATTTAAACGTTTTTCTTAATATAAAAAATAAAACTAGGATAAAAATTGCGATGCTGATATATATTTTTATAAAGTTACTCCTATGTGATTCGGACCGTACAATGACGGTTTGCTACGTTTCGTTTCATCTACTACGGAAAAATATTCTAAGTCAAATTAAATTTAAACAATTACATAGAAATTAATGATTGCTTATTAATTTATTTCTACATTTTCTAATCAATATACAAAAACTTTCATTTTTAAAGTAGCTTCACAATGGGGAGAAATAAAAAAAAACATTAGTTCCCGAAATCAAACTAGAATGAACTATAGAAACTAGATGTCTTTACTGTGCTTTCTTGATTTCTCCATGACAACCCTTCCCGATTTCTTTCATGTATAAAAGTAAAATAGTTTTCAAACTCCATGAACAACTCATATTATATTTGTCCTTTTTTGTATATGTATTGATATCTAAGTTTCGAAGTTTACAAATTTCAGTTTTTTAATATGTTAGTTAAA